ACTAAATTCCGTACTAGCTTGAAGAGAGACCGCGAATTCTGGTGGTGTCTTCGTGCGTCAGAGATGGAAGTAGTCTCTGTCCTTGGTAACCACCAAAAGTTCTTCCGTCTGATATGGGAAACGGACAGCAGTAGACCTAGATTAGTGAAACAATTTATGACGAGAGTTGACAACCTACCCACAGTTTGTCAAAATGTTTGCAGTGTTGGGCTGCGCATTTCGAAAAGCAATTTAGTCGGCCAGAATTGTACGATTCCTCATCGGCCCGTGATCGGCCTGCTGATTAGGCTGCCCTTTGGATGCGCTCCCCCGCTCAGAAGTCAACCGTGAGATCGGACTGTTGAAGTCGAACAAAGCCGTGGGATCAGATGATCTTCATCCAGCCATCTTCAAATTCGAGGGCCGTGCAATTGCTGATGATCTACATGAATTATTAGGGTAAATGTGGGATCAGGAAACTGTCCACACCGATTGGAGCCGCTCCGTTATTGTTCCCATCTCCAAAGGAGGCTCGCGATCGGAATGCGCCCGCAAATTCCTTGCCTCGCCTTCCTCGCAGTATCCTTAGCCAACGTGCGACCGGTTGTGGTTGCGCGGCAGCGAAGCGTCAGTACTGCGTACCGAAGTATTGCCAATGCCTTTTCTGCCCTCGCAATACACCATGACCTTTCGTTCTAACATTCTCTTGACGCTCTAGCCGTCGTAGAGGACAATAAATGGTGCCTTATCTGCTGCATCGAGCAGGGTGGATAGGGTTTTGGATACTACTGCTCAGGCCTTTCCACCTTCTTATTCTCCCTCTTGCGCTTTTCCATCCATAGCGTCCCGCTCCAACTTCACTTTCATCCCCTTTCCGTTTTCAATCCCCTAATTCTTCTAATTCCCCCTTGCTTCAATAGTCGCTGATCTTCTAGTTTCAGCTCACACACAATCACAGGGCGTCGCCCCAATCCAGTCGACAAGTCCATGTTCAGTCCAGCAGTCAGTTCATCCGTTTCCATTCGAAGTGCTCGATCCTCGCTAAGACTGGCATGCCTCAACGTACGCACTTTGCTACAGATTGGCCAATAGGCAGCACTTACCCGAACACTCGAGACCCTATCGATCGATATTTACTGTTTATCAGAAATCCGCCTGCAAGATTCGAGCTCGTGCTTGCCCCAACCTGCGACTCTGGCGATACATTTTCATTGCTTCTGTCTGGCGATGACGTTGCTTCAGCTGCAGGTCAAGCTGGTGTCGGCATTGCTTTGAATCCCCGGACTGAAGCTGCCCTGATCGACTGGACCCCAGTCAACAACCGGATGTGCACCGTTGGATTAGCTGGCTCGTTTCAGGCTTCGAAGTCTCGCAGGAAGAAACGGCGCCTGTTTGTCATTGCTGCCTACGCCCCTACAAACCGTAGCACTGATTCGGTGAAAGCTGATTTCTATCAGCGACATAACGATCTCCTTCATTACAGAAGAAGTACGGATACTGTGGTGTTGGTTGGCGATCTAAACGCCCATCTGGGCATCCAGGCTCTCGTAATGATAACGGTGAGCGATTGCTTCATCTGTGTGAAGATGCTCGTCTCTTTCTCGCGAGCACTAACTTCCAACATAGCACGCACAGGAGAGTGACTTGGCGCCCACTAGCAATGGACGCAAATGGATCACCTCGCGAGTAGTTATCACTGGAGAGACTGTGTCCAAAACTGTCGCTGGATTTGGAGCACGAGTGTGGATTCCGATCACCCTCTTGTGTGTGCCGACCTTCGGGAGCGTTTCGTCGGACGTCCGCAACGTCGCTCTGAGCGTATTGACATCAGCCAGCTAGCGAAGCCAGGTGTTCTGAATGCGTATGAAACTACGCTGGCATCCGGGCTGAGTAGGCGCCCAGGGAACACCGTCGAAGATCATTGGTTGCATATTTGTCAAACGTTACTAACAGCAGGCATCTCTTCATGTGGCAAGTCAAATTGCCAACCTAGACGTTGGGTCCGTACAAAGTCTCTGGAACTTATGAATGCTCGCCAACGTATTCCGTTTGAAAGCGAATACAATGAGATTCGCAAAAATCTCAGGACAAGCTACGTGCTAGCCTGAAGAGAGACCGCGAAGTTTGGTGGTCTCATCATGCTTCGGAAATGGAAACAGCTTCTGCTGTTGGTAATCATTGTAGGTTATTCCGTCTGCTACGGGAAACAGGTGGCAGGAGACTTGGTGTTAGTGAGACAATTTGTGACGAGAGTTGACAACCTACCCACAATTTGTCAAAATGTTTAGAGCATTGGGCTGAGCATTTTGAAAAGCAATTTAGTCGGCTGGAATTGTACGATTCCTCAGCGGCACATGATCGCCATGCTTTTTAGGTTCACCCTTTGGATGCGCTCTCTAGCTCAGAAGTCAACCGTGAAATCGGACTGTTGAAGTTGAACAAAGCCGTGGGATCAGATGATCTTCATGCAGCCCTCCTCAAATCCGAGGGCCTTGCTCTTGCTGATGATTTACACGACGTATTAGGGTAATTGTGGGAGCAGTAAACTGTCCCAACTGATTGGAGCCGCTCCGTTATTGTTCCCATCTTCAAAGGCGGCTGGCGCTCGGAATGCGCCTCCAAATTACTTGCGTCTGTAATCCTTTACAGACTGATTGGCGCTTGTGGAAAGCCGATTCAAGGAGAAAGTCCGGTTTCGTCGGGGTAGCGGCTGCATCGACCACATGTATACTGTGTCAACTGTTAAAGCACCGCCACACATATTTGCGGCCCACCTTAGTCGCGTTACTCGCCATCAAAGGTGTCTTCGATTCGATTGATCGATTTGCACTTTGGGACTGTCTACTCAGGAAAGGTGTACCTGAGAAATATGTACATATTATCTGATCATTATACGCGCGTAGCTCAGGCAGAGTAAGGGCTTGCGGCAAGCTGTCGCCGCTCTTCAATATCTTCAGCGGTGTGAGACAAGAATGCCCCGTTGTCACCTTTCCTCTTGAATTTCGCTATTGACGAGCTCCTGGAGATTGCATTTACATGACACGACTTGGAGGGTGTGGAGCTACTTCCAGGAGAATGACTTCTTGACTTGGAGTAGACAGACGACATGGCCCTGATCTATGACAGCTCTCAGACGTGCCAAGCGGCACTGGACAGATTAGCACTGGCTGTCAGCCGCTTCGGGCTTGGCTTTGCACCATCGAAGTGCAAAGCGTTCCTTCAATTTTGGCAGGCATCCCTTCATGCACCAACCCTTGGTGGGAATCAGCTAGAAGTCGTTCAGAAATACAACTACGTGGGAAGTTGTATCAACGTCCGTGGGATTGAAGATGAAATCACGAACCGTATAGGAAAAGCTCGAAGTGCTTTTGATAGTCTTAGCAACTTATGGCGGCGGCGCGACATCACTCTCGTCCTGAAGGGTAGAGTGTACAATGCAGCGGTAGGTTCGACCTTAGTGTAGGGTTGCGAAGCCTGGCCCGTTAGATCATCAGACATAAAGGGTCTAGTTACTTTCGACCATCGGTGCCTTCGCAGTTTAGCTCACATCTGGTATGAACACCACGTGAGCAACAAGCGTGTTCGACGCCTTGTTTACGGCACAGGAAAAGGAACTGAACCGCTCAACACCATCATTTCACGCACCAGGCTCCGATAGCTCGGCCATGTGTTGCGCATGCCAGCCCACCGACCTCCGCGACGTGCGTTGTTTGCTTGCCGGGGGGTGTGGATGAAAGAAGAGGAGAGGTGGCCAATCGATGATTGGTCAGGAGGAATGAAGGCCCTCACTTCGGCACTGGCCTCGATTGGAGCTTCACGACTCACTTGTTGGGGACCAAAGCTCGATGAACACATTTGGCTAGATGCACTTGCTGACAGGGCTAGAGGCCCGACCTCAGTGGCGTTCCTGCTGTGAGTTTCTTTGTCCCTCGCTATCTTTTAGCCTCCTAACCACGATCACAGTTCATAGCATAATTTAATTTTACATCGTAATTTTTCTTGTTGCCTAGTAACCGGCTGGTAGCTTTCCGGAATTACGCCCATCCGTTGCTGTTAGCTCAGCTGATTGCAACTGTTGTGTTTATTTTCTTTTTCCTTTGATGTATTGTGGCACGGTGGCTAAGGTCTTTTACTCCTCCAGCTAACGTGTATAATGATGATGGCCCGTAGCCTAGAAGTAACGACCTTGTCTCATAATCTTGCGGCGCGTGTTCGAGTCAGCGTCGGGGCAGGGCGACCCTCGCAGTATCCTTAGCCAACATGAGACCCGGTGTGGTTGATCGGCAGCGAAGCGTCAGTACTGCGTACCGAAGTACTGCCAATGCCTTTTCTGCCCTCGCAATACACCATGACTTTTTGTTCTAACATTCTCTTGACGCTCTAGCCGTCGTAGAGGACAATAAATGGTGCCTTATCTGCTACATCGAGCAGGGTGGATAGGGTTTTGGATACTACTGCTCAGGCCTTTCCACCTTCTTATTCTCCCTCTTGCGCTTTTCCATCCATAGCGTCCCGCTCCAACTTCACTTTCATCCCCTTTCCGTTTTCAATCCCCTAATTCTTCTAATTCCCCCTTGCTTCAATAGTCGCTGATCTTCTAGTTTCAGCTCACACACAATCACAGGGCGTCGCCCCAATCCAGTCGACAAGTCCATGTTCAGTCCAGCAGTCAGTTCATCCGTTTCCATTCGAAGTGCTCGATCCTCGCTAAGACTGGCATGCCTCAACGTACGCACTTTGCTACAGATTGGCCAATAGGCAGCACTTACCCGAACACTCGAGACCCTATCGATCGATATTTACTGTTTATCAGAAATCCGCCTGCAAGATTCGAGCTCGTGCTTGCCCCAACCTGCGACTCTGGCGATACATTTTCATTGCTTCTGTCTGGCGATGACGTTGCTTCAGCTGCAGGTCAAGCTGGTGTCGGCATTGCTTTGAATCCCCGGACTGAAGCTGCCCTGATCGACTGGATCCCAGTCAGCAACCGGATGTGCACCGTTGGATTAGCTGGCTCGTTTCAGGCTTCGAAGTCTCGCAGGAAGAAACGGCGCCTGTTTGTCATTGCTGCCTACGCCCCTACAAACCGTAGCACTGATTCGGTGAAAGCTGATTTCTATCAGCGACATAACGATCTCCTTCATTACAGAAGAAGTACGGATACTGTGGTGTTGGTTGGCGATCTAAACGCCCATCTGGGCATCCAGGCTCTCGTAATGATAACGGTGAGCGATTGCTTCATCTGTGTGAAGATGCTCGTCTCTTTCTCGCGAGCACTAACTTCCAACATAGCACGCACAGGAGAGTGACTTGGCGCCCACTAGCAATGGACGCAAATGGATCACCTCGCGAGTAGTTATCACTGGAGAGACTGTGTCCAAAACTGTCGCTGGATTTGGAGCACGAGTGTGGATTCCGATCACCCTCTTGTGTGTGCCGACCTTCGGGAGCGTTTCGTCGGACGTCCGCAACGTCGCTCTGAGCGTATTGACACCAGCCAGCTAGCGAAGCCAGGTGTTCTGAATGCGTATCAAACTACGCTGGCATCCGGGCTGAGTAGGCGCCCAGGGAACACCGTCGAAGATCATTGGTTGCATATTTGTCAAACGTTACTAACAGCAGGCATCTCTTCATGTGGCAAGTCAAATTGCCAACCTAGACGTTGGGTCCGTACAAAGTCTCTGGAACTTATGAATGCTCGCCAACGTATTCCGTTTGAAAGCGAATACAATGAGATTCGCAAAAATCTCAGGACAAGCTACGTGCTAGCCTGAAGAGAGACCGCGAAGTTTGGTGGTCTCATCATGCTTCGGAAATGGAAACAGCTTCTGCTGTTGGTAATCATTGTAGGTTATTCCGTCTGCTACGGGAAACAGGTGGCAGGAGACGGTGTTAGTTGCACAATGCGTGGCGAGGGTGGACTGCTGATCCTCGGCCTGTCAGGACTTTTGCAGGGTTGGTCCGAACCCGTTGCACGACATTTTAACCAATCTGACTTTTCGGTTTTTTTCTTGCATGGGGTACCCTACTTATTGACCTTCTCCTTAAATCGAACCACATGCGTTGAGGTCTTATGTGTGATCAGGCTGTTGAATTTGCATAAGGCCGCAGTGAGATTTTTTCTCCGCAGCCTTCTTCATGTTATTGGAACTGCTCTGGTTAATTATTTACACAAATTATTAGGGTAACTATGGGAGCAGGAAACTCTGCCGACCGAGTGAAGCCGCTCCGTCTTAGTCCCAAGTTTCATGGGAGCCTCTGGAATGCAGCTGGGGTCCTAAAAACGATGAACACGTTAGGTTGAACACACTTGCTGAAATAGCGAAGAGCTGGCCGTGGTGGCGTTTGTGTTGTGAGTTTCTTTGTCCGTACCCGCCTTTTTAGACCCCTTGCAATTCCGATTTCATGCGAATTACATAATATCATATTTAACATTATCTTAACGCCCTTGTTCGCCATAAAATCCCACCCCAGTTGCACACTGACTCACCTGGTTTGACGAAGACCTTGTGTCGAGGGCGAAACGTTACCAAACTGCCATACCAACCGATTGTTTCCAAACCTCTAAACTCATTATCTTACATTCTTTTGAATTTCCTTGTAGTGTAATTTTTTGTAGGTTACCTCGTTTTTTTGCGGCACATTATCCGAGGTGTGTTTCCCACCCTCGGCTAACGTCTATTGATGATGATGCATTTGCGACAACGGCGTCCAGCTTTGTTTAGGTTATCCGTTAAGCTCATTTTACATCCTGTTTGATCTCTTGTTTGGGGATGTGGTCACTCCGTCCAACCACCTTCGAAATATTTGTTTTACATTGCAGCCTACAAGTCTGCTACAACCTGCGTTTGTGTTAAGTTCGAAAATCCTCCTACTCCTCGACCGGACCGTGATCGTTGATCTCGGATCAGTTGCTTTCTCAAAGGATGTTATTCTTCGAAATGCTGCGCTGTTGAAATGTCGTGTTCTGCCATAGCTTCTGAATTTTCGGCTCAGAAATTTCGGCTGGTTGTAGATACTCCATCTATCTTTGGCGTTTGGCGGGTGAGTTCACTTCTATTTGCTGACCTCAGGGCGATTCTCTTGCTTTTGGTTTTCGATTGCAGTTTACTACCTACCTGATTCCTAGACCAGCGTTTGTGTTTTGTAGCAAAGAACCATCAGTCTGTTCCTAGAGCCAGCTAGTGATATTTTGTTCGTTCTTGACATTTTACCGCCCACCGATCGACCCTTTCCGTCCTAATAATCAGGTGTGGGGTTTTATAAGTTTTGTATACATGTCTGCATGCTACTGCTTACAACACACCTAATTTCCCATTAGAATTTCGCGCCACTTGCGGAAAAGGTTCCATTACAGTGCTGACTATTTGTTGCAGTCCGGAGAGTTCATATCCTTACGTATGCCTCACTTCTTACCCAGTCCGATTTAAACATACTTCGAACGCATAGCCGCTTACAGTGAAATCTCTCATTCCTACCTTGCTCTCTCGCAACTAACTATACATTAATGTTTATGATTGTGTGTAGCAATCTGTTTCACCGTGGGTTATGGGGACCCAACGTCTCCATAAGATCGCAAGCTAAAACCACGGAAGGCAATGAGACTCACATTCAGACCAGTACGCATGTTTCAAACAACCTTTTAACTCGTGAGACATTCACTTTTCGATCAACCTTTGTACCTAAGAAACATTCCTGTTTCCTGTCAATCTGCGCATTCATAAAACATTCCGCCGAAGGAACATTCATTTTTACAGTTCAGCCTCCGCATCTACCAACATACACTTTTTGACATGTTCCGTTGTCATATCCACATAGTGCCAATTCACTTGCTTACGCCTTGCTTCCAGGGTTTGCTTTCGCAAAGCGTTTTAAGTGAAAATTCACATATTTTGCGATCACCTTGAGCCTAGCCGGTAAAAGTGCTTGCTACGAAAGGCCTATCTTTTTTCTTATTCTGACGAGTTCTGGTACTTGCGTGTGAAGTCGAGTTCGGTCTAAGAGCCCGTTCAACTCCCGCTTGGTAAGCGTGTTGCGTCTAAGTCTCACGGGTCATAAATAGTTCGAATTTCGTCGGTTACCTTGTCGTGCGGGGATATACTTCTAACTCAGATTCATTCGTCTGACTATGAGAGTTGATACCAGCTCGTCAGAGAGTGACGTAACCAAGTGGGCGTCATAACATCGTGAGGTTGTAATGGTTCCTAAATATGGTGAGGCTAGACAAAACGAACGTCGCGAACCCGGTTCCATTGCAATGAGACGGAAATTTATCATGGTGCTGTGGCTTGTGTATTTCAGTGATCCGTTGATCTATAATTGGTGGTGCTTCTGGGATCTTCATTGTCACTCATGCCAGATTGGTCACTAGTTAGAGACCAGAAAAACTCGCTTTCTTGGTCTTCCAGGTCGGAGGTTTGAATAAGCATGGTGTTTCATTCTTTAGAACAAACCCTCTGTAGTTCACAGTCAAACTTTCACAACCTAGTTGCCAGGCTTTTTGACCAATAGCTTTGTTTGAAAGCCGCGACCGTTCTCTTGTCATGACCTGGGAAACCAAATATTGTCCTGCCCATGCAATACAATGGAAGCCTCTTCACACATTTTCCTAAAGCTCTGGCCATCCCAGACCCTTTCTGCATCAAGCGAGGCGGATAGAGATGGGAGTGCTACTGCTCAAGCCTTTCTGTTGTCCTTTTTCCAGTTTTTAATCATTATCGTCTTGCTCCAACTGTACTATGAACCCCATCCTGCTTTTAACCCCGAGATTCTTGCCCCACCCCTCCCTGCCTCATAAGGTGTCTTAATTTCTGCTCGCACTCAGTCTCGGGGGTATCTCCTGCTTTATCTACACATCTGTGTATAACCTTATTTAGAGCCCTCCATCCTCGCTAAGTCTGGCATCCCTCAACGTACGCGCTTTTTTGCGGATCAATCAACAGGTTGTACTGGCCCGAGCACTAGAAATATCACCGCCTGATATCAGCTGCTTATCGGAAACCCATCTACATGATGTGAGCTCTGTGCTCACTCTACAATCCCCTTTATGCGACGCTTGTGGTACCTTCTCAATCCATCTATCCAGAGATGATTCACGTTCGAATGTTAGTCAACACGGCTTGAGAAATGTCATGAGTCCCCGGATTAAAGTTGCTTTGGAAGACTGGATCCCAATCATTTGCCGGATGCGCGCGGTCCGACTGGCTGGCTTGTACAAAGTTTCAAATTCACGCGGCAGCAATATGTGCCTGTTTATAATTGCTGCATATACCATCAATCAATTAGTCATCAACAGCAGTACATCAGCCATTTGAACTGATGCTTCGCTGCCATACAACCATGAGGACCTATGAAATAAAGAATAAGAAGAGGGAGAGAAGGGGAACTTACCTGAAAACCTTAATGCCCTAAGCAAACATTCAGGGTCAAGGCGCCTACACCTTGTGTAGACAACATACCGTAACAAACAGCTGCCTATTTTGCAAAGATAAGGCGGCATCGGCGAGACAGCTTCCTTGCGGCTTTCACTGCCACTCGTCATAATCAGCCATTACCCCGCAGATAACAGCACCAAACACACTTTAAACAGGCAATCCAACTAGGTGACGACAGTAGACGCGCCACTGGTGTCGGTTGCGAGCCATGTCCTGTGAAGTCTCGAGCCAAGCACAAGGCGAGTCACGTGAACTCCAGGCGGGAAGGCGAGACGGACCAACGGCACCCAGTTTGGTCGTCAGTGACTTCATTTCCCGCTGCCAAGTCAACTTCTGTTCACCTCGAGCCTTGCGCCACCTTACACCTGACAAACTAAACAAGGCCCTCCTAGGTTAGCGGTGATCAGGCAAACGTAGCACGTACCCGAGCCAATGCAACTTTTTCAGTGCTGTCTGTTGTTCTAGAGAGCTAGCATGATTATCACCACCTAGTACTCGCCTGCGCGCATCATCGTCGCGGACACGCTGATGCCATCCGACTCCAGCAACGATTCGCTGACAACGATGATCAAAGACTTGAAGGCGCCTCAGATCTTCAGACCGAAGTGGCCAAGTCTCACTACCATAGAGCAGAACGGCCCTCACTGTGGCCTTGTATACCCGGCCTTTCAGACGGAGGAAAACTCCCTTCTGTCGCCAAAGATGCCGCAGGTTCAATAAGGTAGCTCTGGCTTTTGCAATGCGTGAGCTGGCGTCAGTTTCTATGCGCCCATCATTGCTGATTCAGCTGCCAAGATAAGTGAGATGATCAACCACCTCGAGTTCCTCGTTAGCAAGCGTGAAGGGTCATCAAGTGGCTGGTGGTGCTGCAGCAACACTTTACACTTTTAAGGTGCGATGTGCATACCAAATAATGGGACTACTCTGAACAAGCAATTCAGGGTTGATTGTGCCGCCCCAACATCTTCGAAAAGCAAGACGATATCGTCCGCATAATCTAGATCAACTAACCTTTCACCAGGCAGCAGTTCAACGCCTACATTGTGAGATTCCGCAAGGGAACACTCCATGATATAATACACGACGAAATTGAACAGAAATGGGAAAATCGGACAACCCTGATGAACGCCACTTGTGGTCGGAAAAATATATGATAGGACACCGTAGACGCTGACGCGGCCTGTAGTGTTCGAGTATAGAGCACGAAGGATGTTCACATATTTCGTGGGCACACCTTTCCGCGCAAGTAATTCGAACAGAATCGATCGATCGACTGAATCGAACGCACTCTTGAAATTGAGGAACACAGCTATTGTCGGTCTGCGGTATGCGTGGCGCTGCTCTAGCACCTGCCGTAAAGTGAATATATGGTCTATACAGCCACTTCCTGGGCGGATACCGGCCTGCTCTTCCCTAATGCGAGATTCCCGTTCCGCAGTGAGGCGACGAACGATAATCGAGGCCAGTAATTTTGTCACAACTGGCGTTAGGCTAATACCCCTGTGGTTCGCACAGTCTGTGCGACTGCCCTTCTTGTATATTGCCACTATAATCGATTCGCTCCAATTAGCCGGGACACTTCTTTCCAGATATATTCGAATAAGGTCAGTGCTTTGCAGAGGACCTCACTTCCATCCTTAAATAGTGCAGGTGGGAGGGAATGTGGGCCAGCGGCACGAAAACGATTAAGGGCTGTGATCGCGTTTAGGACCTCGGCCTCTGACAGAAGCTCTGAACTAACCGTCCATGGCTCATCCTGCATCACCTGAGTAGGAAGAGGTCAGGGAGCAGGGGGCCAGCTGAACTGATGTTCAAAGTGCTCAGCCCAACGAGCCATACGGCGCTCCTTATTGTGTATCAGCGCACCCGCGCTGTCTCTGATTGTCTCATTGATGGCTGGTTTTCTGGGACCAGTGGTGCGAATTAGCTGGAAAAGCTTGCGGTAATTGCCTACTGCTCTTGCCTCCTCCATTTCTTGAGCCCTACTGGTCCACCAGGCTTCCTTGTCAGCATGTAGGCTCTGCTTTAGTTCACGCCTAATAGCCTGTCTGGTCACATTGTATTCAGAACCAGTTGGGAGGTGTCTTCTAGATTCCAACAGGTTCACCGACCTCTCGAATATCCAGTGACGGGTGCGGTAACGATGGGTAGTGCCACAAGCAGATGCTCCTGCGTCATGCATGGCGGTCGAGATCCTATTCCACTGAAGCTCAGTGTCATTAGGATAAGAGAGCGGAAGTTCGGTATGCATTGCATCTTGGTAGGCTTGCCTGACCGAGGACTGAGACAATTTCTTTGTTGCCAGTCGTTGGGGACTCTTGATACGCCTCCCGGTAAAGTTCATAGAGAAACGACAGCGTACCAATGCATGATCAGAGTCAACACAGATACTCTAGTATGAGCGGAAATCCAGGATGGAACCACGCCATCTGTAACTTATGGCTATGTGGTCAATTTGGGTTCATCGCTGGCCAGCAACAGGAGAACGCCAAGTGGCAATTCGGCGCCCACTGTGTCTAAGAGCAGTGCTACTAAGAAACAACTGGTGCTCCGCACACAGTTGCAACAGACACTCGCCGTTGTCAGTTCGTTCGGTGTTAAGCTCACAAT